AAGGAAGGAAGGAAGGAAGGAAGGAAGGAAGGAAGGAAGGAAGGAAGGAAGGATTCTTTTCCTAACTGCTTAGATCCCTGGTCATCCGACGGAGAGCTCGGTGTTGCGGAAACAGTCCACAGCTTCTTCACAGATGGAGCACGGTTTTAAAACACAACCAGCCCGCACAAGAACAAACACACTCCATCACTGCCTCATACTTTGACGTTTATGGTACGTTACTTGACTGTATAATGATTACAGCATGTCAGAGTGCACACTGTTTTGGCAGATTTTTCCATACATGCTTATTTATTTGTCTAAACTGACACAGAAATCAACCTCAATGTCATTGGAACCCGCAGTAAACGTTGACAGAGATTTTGTTGCGTGATTTGGCTGCGTTCAGGCAGTTCAGACAATAAAAGCAGCGCTATCCACATTCGGTCTGCCAAACCTTTCACTCTCTCCTGCTTGACATGCTGAGAAAATAAAGCTTTCATCCAAAATTCATCAGAGAATGTTGACGCCATAAAAGCATTTGGCTTGAATAATTTTCCCATGATGTACAATAACCAAGGGATTAATAGGCGGGGTTTCACAATAGGACTATAAACCTGTTTTCTCCTGATATATTAAAGATTTTAACGATTCCATCACATCTTGTGACTCCTTCCACTAAATATTAAAGCACATGTTAACTTTTGACAACAGCGAAAGTTGACTGGACAATACTGAATGGCAGCTGTGTATTAGTCATTACTTGGTTTGTGTTTAGCTAAGTCTTTACTAAGACATTAGCTCAATTATTGCTTAAAATTTTTACTTTAAAGGACTACATCACATATGAGCAAAGCTTTGCCATAATGATGCATTTTGCATGGGTCATGAAATGTTCAATGTGTTTCTTAAAGATTAAGGTAAAAAAAATAAATCAATAAATTAACAGCAGCTGTAAGTTCAAGGTAAGTTTCTAGAAAAGCAAACATTGCTTATTTCTTTTAAACTAAGCTGCTGGTTAGCTTGTTAAGTTTAGCAACAAAGTCTTGCAACTTTCACTGAAATTACTGAAATATTCTTTATCAAAATATCGTTCAATATTCAAAGTAGCCAATGAAAAATCTTCTCCCAAAGAAGACTTTCTTAAACCATTGGTTTATTTTTATCATCAAATCCAACAGCAAATCTATCCATCATGGGCCACAGGCTTGTCTCATCTATGCGGCCAGTCAAAGGTACTGAGTGTTATTAGGATTACAGCATTGCCTTTTATCCTTCCAATAGTTTTAACTGTAAACAGACATGTCTTTAAATAAACCTCTAATGTTACGTTCAGATCGCACCATTCAAAAGCAGCAGAAGCAGCTAGTTTACATGCAAAGTCAATGGTTGACACGCATCAAGGTGCAGCAAAAGGACAGGCTTGCGGTCTGAACGCAGCATTATTCATTAAAGTAAGCCACCAACTCTCGATTCCTTCCACCATTGTTAAAGGCAATGAAAGGACTTGTACAAGTATCAAAAATAAAGCTGCACGCAGGATTTTGCTGCTTCTGCTGCATGCGGTCTGATGTAGCATAATATAACTAGGGTGACCATATTTTCATTTGGGAAAACCAGGACACCTTGGAGCGGGGGGGGGGGATCTCTGTTCCCATGCATAGAGATGTCTATATCTACAGTTGATTTATTAAAAATGCTTTTCAGTAAAAGTCAACAGCAATAACTTCAGTAACAAACGATAATTTTATTCAAAATGTATTTATTAAAAATGCTTAACAATTCCTCTAATGAATGAATAGCACAATGAAAGAAATAATGTCTCATCTAAACATCCCTCACTTAACAATAAAACTTAACAATAACTCTCAACTCCCAATAACCAGAGATGGGAAGTAACAAAGTACAAATACTTCGTTACTGTACTCAAGTAGATTTTTCTGATATTTTTACTTTACTTTACTACATTTTTTTATGGCGACTTTTTACTTCTACTCCTTACATTTTTACACAAATATCTGTACTTTCTACTCCTTACATTTTAAAAAATTGGCTCGTTACTTTAGTTTTGAATCATTTCAATGGAGTTACCGTTATTATTTTTCACGTCATCAATACCAAATTCAATCTAATTGGATGGGAATCTACGTTGCATTTGACGCACCACTACAAGATGAATCGACAGATTCGGCGGTATTCATTGGCGGCAAATCATTGCAGCTTGGTGGCGGTGGCGTTAGCATAGTAGCATGGACGACGAGATGATTGAAAATCAACACAACGGAGATCTAGTCCTATTGGCAGACATCCATTTAAAATGTAGGCAACGGCATGAAAAAAGTGGTTTCTACTTTTACTTTTATACTTTAAGTAAATTTACAAGCCTGTACTTTGTTACTTTTACTTGAGTAAAGAAGTTTAATCAGTACTTCCACTTTTACCAGAGTATTTTTTAACACAAGTATCTGTACTTTTACTCAAGTACGGAAAGTAAGTACTTTTGCCATCTTTGCCAATAACAGATGATACTCAGCCTCAGCAATGAACGAAATAATGTCTGTTCTGTAGGCTATTGGAAAAAATAAATTAACAAATGAGCTAATTAACCAAAAATACCTCTTGTGTGGCAAAAATAACTCAAAATGTACCAAAAACCAAGAAACATATCAATAGACTATCTTTACTTTCGGTGTCCAGGTGGATTTTCAGATCCCTTGCACCGCCATTGGACACCGAGACATATGTGCCTGCTTTGCACACTGTGCACAAGGCCTCCAATGTGTCTCGACCCGGTCTGAAAGCGGGGAAACTCTTTTGTAAATCGTCGGTAAACATATATTTGCGCTTTTGCATGTTGTTGGCGTACTGACAGCCACGCAATTTATATTCTAATTAAGAACAGGGCTGCCCGCACTGACGCGGCTCAGGGACTACGTCACACGCAGCGTCGTGCGCAGTGCCCTAGTGCCCGTAAATGTAATGGTCCAATTAAGGTAATTTAAAAAACAGGACATTTCCTCACATCTAAAAAAAAAAAACGGGACGCCCGGGACAGGACGTGAAATACGGATATGTCCCGGATAATACTGACGTTTGGTCACCCTATAATATAAGCAATATCCAAGGTTTCCACAGCAACTTTTTAAAACTGAGACATGCTATATACATATGTGCAACAATATTTAAATAAATGCAACTGCAATAGCAATGACCTGACATTACAATTTCTTACATTTATCCATTTCTATGTAGACCTTCTGTTTACATTAAGGACATTTTACTCACTTTGAGTCCTTGAAGTCATTCCAAAAACAAGGAAGTCATACACTGGGAGACTGGTTGACTGTGTGAAGCAATTTCTGAATGTTGGTAGCCCTCAAAGCAACGGAGGAGCAAGTTCACTCTGAATAATAAAAAAAAAGCTATAATTTACTAATCCCCTTCATATTAGCAGCAGACTTTAGGGTAGCATACTGTCACAGGATGTGATGGTTCTTTTAGTTTTCCTGTCAACTTCAAGATATTTACAAAATCCTGAACCAACCAGTGGCAACTATATACCAGAGCACTTTATCATTGGCCTTGGTAAGGTTGGTCTTTTGTGGTGATATTCCAAATATTCCAAATTGAATATAAATTATCATTGTCATATTAGTATTACTTTGGTAATTGTGTCATAGTGAGCTAAGAGCCATATTCTAGTTCTTTTCATATACTTGGTTAAAGAGACATAAGGTTCAGCTGAAAAAAAGACCAGTAAAATAGCCTTTTTATTTAACCTTTGTCACTAAAACATTATTGATGAGCAGACTTACACCTCAGAAGTTCATCTCTAATACACCTATAAGCCTGCAGCCTATTTTCGCTGAATTCATTTGGGTCTGTAGTTCTTGCTCTGTTCTGAGGATTCAACATTAGAGTCCTGCACGGGTCGAGTTTTACCAACCCGCACCCGCCCAAACCCGTTAGGATGACTACCGAACCTACCGATATCTTCAATTCAAATCCGAACCCGACCCGTTGATATTTAACCCGCAACCCGACCCGTTAACACATCAAGTAATAGGCTATAGTATGCTGCGCTGCAGAACAGCGCCATTAACACTGCAGCAGACGTGTATGCACTGACTGTGGCCTTTTTGGAGGGAAGCCCACACTGCCGGCAGGCCTTTAAGCTACAACAAGGGTGACCCCAGTGCCTGATAAATATAACATTTCTGATGTCCATAACAACACACACGCATAAAAAAAAAAATCACCAACTACCTGCCCGCACTAAAAAAATATCCGCCCGACCCCCTGACCCCTTTATTTTTATTTATGTATTTTTCACCTGCAAAAGAGCATTTTAGCGGGTGACCCGTCGGGGACCCGCGGGTACCCGACCCGTTGCAGCACTCTATTCAACATTATGCGTGTTAATGTTAAATAGTTCAAATCTAGCAAACAATCGAAAAATT